GTGTCTGTCAATAGCTACTGCATTCACAGGGCCGACATGCACTTACACCGATGTACAGATAGATAAACTAATACCATGCTCCTAAATGACTAGGGTTCATTTCTCATGTACAATATGTACATTGTACAAGATGTACAATAACCCTTTAATCTTCTGGGGCCCTCAGCACAGGAGGGATGAGGAGTTGCTGGAGAGGGCAAAGAGGAGAATCACGAAGATGGTCAAAGGAGCACCTCTCCTATGAAGATAGGCTGAGAGAGCTGGGCTTATTAGCTTGAAAAACAGATTGCTCCAGGGAGACCTCTTTGTGGCCTTCTAGTACTTGAAGGGAGCTTATAAACAGGAGGGGGACTGACTTTTTACATGGCCCAGTAGGGATAGGACAAAGGGGAATAGTTTTAAAATAAATGAGGGGGGATTTAGATTAGATATTAGGGGGAAATTATTTACTCAGAGGGTGGTGAGGTTTATGGACACAAGGGGCCCAGAGAAGCTGTAGATGCCCATTCCTGGAGGTGTTCAGGACCAGGTTAGATGGGGTCCTGGGAAGTCTGATGTAGTGGGTGTCAACCCTGCCAAGTGGCAGGGGGCCGGAGCTCAAGGGTCATTATGGTCCCTTCCAACATAAGCCATTCTATGATTCTATGATCTGAACTTGGAAGCCAGTTCTAAGAAAGAGTACTAAGAACAAGCTCAGAAAAAAAAAAAAACACCTTGTTTTATCACAAAAACCTATAAATAAAAAAATATAATGTATTGACTCTCCAGTGTCTCTAGTAGAGCTCAATCAGCTGTGATCAGAATTAGTCTCAATTGCAATGCATTTGATTAGGAAAGAATAAGGAGACAGTTTTAACAAAACAGAGGAAGAGTCTCCAGTGCTATTGCTACAGTTGGCAAATTCGCACAAGAACAGAAGGCACAATACCTATAACACCTGAGAAGATATTCCCTCATAAAAAATTGAAAATGTAGTAGTAAAATCAGTTTGAATGACAACCACATTAAGAGTTGTGACTTTTAAGCTTTCCTTAAACAACAGGATTCTACAAGGAAGCAGCAAAATGCCATGGGATTTTAGCCCAGTTAAATGAAGGTCTGAATGAGGAGGCCAGTCATGCAGTGGGACAGAAAGTGGTGATATCTGTGTGGTGACCACCTCTGGTTTTATAAGGACCATGTCTTGCTATTTGGCCTGAAGCAAGCATGCTGCTTTGTCTGCAGGCTTGGGCACTGTTGCGAGGGAACAACTGAAAGAGATGAAGTCCTGGGGCAGTAACTAAGAACTGATGGTATGGCTGTATTCATGCTTATTTTCAGCTCAGACCTGTGAGCAGGCCTCATATAAGATATATTTACAGTGGTGTAATATATGCTGACCTTGAGAACTGGTAAGCACCCAACTTTCAGTGGTTTCAGTGGTCGTATTGACACGAGTAAATGAGGCTTATCCACAGCCAAAGCATTTGAGCTGGACTGCACATATTTCTTGCAAGATACTTCATTTTAAGAAGGAACAAGAAAACTCATGTTTGAAGTTGATAATCTGTTAACACACTGCAAAATGCCAGAAACACCAAGATTAAAAGGGCAGAAAAGACACAATATGTTTGTCATGTGATACAGTTATCAGGAAACATTTTAGAAAATTTTCCCTCCAAAAAGGCTGGTTCACCAAAAACAAAGTAATTTGCCAGGGAATGTGTTAGATCATTTTCTATTAAAAAACAACAACAAAATAAACAGTTTAGAAATTGCTGAAACATTATATTTATACATTGTCAATATGAAAAAGATTTAATCTAAAGTTCAAATATTTTTTCCAAATTCTGTGTACAAAATGTGCACAAAAAAATCAAAATCAAAATGAAATATTTTACAATTATTATTATTAAAGTTGATTTGATTCACCTACTGATTAGACCATTTTCTTATTGCAGCTAATTGTGAACCCACAAACAAAGTCTCTCAATTATGGCAAAGAATAGGTATGTGAAAGATATAATGCTGGCAAGATTTAAAAGAGGTATTAAACACAAAGCAAAAAAAAAAATGTTCTAAATAGAGATAAAATATAAAGCAGGTCATCTCTAATTTCTTCTGGGTGAAATAGAATGCAGTGCACTTGTTGGACCCCAGAATACTACAAACAAGAAGGGTATAGATGCTTGGAAAAGGATGTTCTCGCAAAACTGTCAGTGAGTAGCCAACAAGAGTATCATATATATACAACAGCTCACACAACTGTACTCAGTACCTGGCAGAGGATTATATAGAAGGATATTGCCTAAATTAACTACAGAGGACAGATTTGTTGCACTTGAGGAGGGGTCTGTGAGTTGTCTTCCACATCTGGTGGTCAAGGAAGCATCTCTACCTGCCAATATGCCACTTTCCTCATGTCCTTACATGCACAGCCCAAAAAAACTGGCATCTCCCCCAGTTGGGTCATCATTTTATTTTTGAACTGATAAGAATACTACCAATCAACAAGTACTCAGAAGTCAACAGGTAGCAAGGACGTAAAATGCCCAGTAATTAAAGACTCTATTTTTTAGTAAGTTACTTATTTTCTTACTCTGAGTTCCTGAGAAAATAGACTTTTTGCACAAAAAAATGTATGTACAGAATGTTAAGTGAGGTCATGGAGCTGGACTCTGATGTGAACAGACAACTCATGACAGTGACCACTAGCAATAGACTGTAAATTAAGTAGCAAGGTAGCATTCATTTTGCACGTTTTCACATGTGAATGTCTGTAGTTTGGTGAACATTTCTAAGCTTGATATTGAATGTCATTTTGCCAGAAAATAAAAGGATTAATAACAGTCATGTGGCAAAATTCTACCTCTTGGGCAAACAGTAGTCTAAATGTGATATAATATTAAAAGTATATGTGCATGTTAGTAGCATACTTGTAAAAATAGTCACTGGTAGCTTTGTATCAAAATAGAATATTTATACTAAACTCTTTAAACTAAACTGTTATTACAATGTAAAAAAGTGTTATTAAACATTTGTTCACATTAAAAAATCTGCTGTTCCAACAACCAATATTTATAAGTTCAGCATTTTCACCATGCAGTTACTGATATCCTGCTCATTGGTTGTATGTTCCATTCTATCTTGAGTGTGCCTTGAGCATCCTAGATCTGGATTTTCTATCTCAGAGATACAAAAACAGTCAAGCCAGAACACTCTAATTTACCAGCATTATGATTTTACTGGGTTATTATGTTATTACAGAGAAGAACATATAGGTGAACTTACTATCTTTGCTACCAAGTTTGCATTCTGAGTCCCTACTGAACCTGTCAATGCCTTTGTAAGTACTTGCAATGTTTTCTACTGCAAAATGAATTCCAAAAACCAACAAAAAACAAAACAAAAAACAAAAACAAAACAAAAAAAAAACTGAGCACAGTCTAAATGTAATTATTTATTTTAAAAATTATTTAACTGAGAACTTGTTTTTATGACTAATTCAGCCTTTACTGAAGTATTCTAGTGGATACACACTTCAAAAGAGTGCTTCAATTCTGCTTAGTCAAAAAAGAGAGAGAGGGACTTAAATGGAAAAGCAACTTCCTTGCAGAAAAGTCCAAGAGGAAACACATGAAAAATATTTAATTTATTCACTCTTGGTATTTCCCTAAAATCAAATGCTAAGGATTAGACTCTCATTTGACAGCTGTGAGTCACATCTGCAGAAAAAAGTAAACGAAACGCATGCAAAGGTCAGGCAAAATTACACACAGTATCTAAAAAATATTTTAATATTATTTATCAATAGTCCAAGATCCTTAGCCTAATAGATTCCAGCCTACACTTCTGAACTTCCCTAGAAGACACAGGAATCAGTAATGAGTGTAGTGCTAGCGGAAGTACTACTAAGATGAAGGCAGGCATGGCATTCTTCCCTGTTGCTTCTTCTGGAGTTGAAAAAAATTTCTTCTGAAACAGAGAGTTTATTTTGACAACAAAATTTCCAGGGGAAATACAAGGTCTAATGAAATTACATGGATATTAGGACAACAATTTTGCCTTAAAAATCTGTAATTAGCCAAATTAAAGGAGCCGAAATCTCCTTTTAACCACATTTTAAAGCCTAGTATCTTTTCTGAATTTTGTTGTATTTTTTTCCCAGACAACTCAACTAACGATGCATTATATAAGCCTATAACTAAGAGTTTCTACTATTTTCCATTTTGAGCTGATCACTTTTTAGCATATTTTTCTCGTTTTCTAACTATTTGTGTAGCTACAGACAAAGTCAAAATTAGAAAATGCATTTTATATGTCCAGGTTTGAAAATTAGGATAAAGGAGCTAAAATCTAATGCATTAGGGTGCCATTTACTTCACTGCATTACCAAGAAACAAAACAACAACGGCAGTACCATCTTACTGTAACTTTCTGGTTGCAAATCAATTTGCCAGCAATGAACCACCTCTCATCTGTATGAAATAAATGTTATTTTTTGTCTATATAGATTTTGCATGTTTGCCACAGATCAGCTATGAACTACTTACATAAATCCTATGAACGCAGTATGAACATAAAATGCTACCATCTGCTGTTTAAAGACACCTCAGTTTTAAAGCTAGGGTATTTATGCTCCCAATCTTTTTATCATCTGAAAACCCATCAATAGCTTCATAATGATGAATGCAACGTAGACCAGTTTGCATTTGCAAAATTCACTTTTAGAAATGGCAGACATGGGTCAGCACATCTGGAAACCACTTTTAATTATACTTTCCTCAAGTGGGAAAGCAGTAGCTTGTGCCCATAGTGAAGCTTTTATATCTGACCACACAAATACTAGCAACCACCTGTGCTTTACACTGATTTTCATTATAGAGTATATCATATTACTACCCTATTATTCCAGAACGACATTTGAAGCCGTTGTGTGACTAAGCTGCAGCAAGTGTGGTCTCTAAAAGGCCTCTACTCTACAAAAATGTAATAAATTTGATTGCAGTTCGGGTACTTACCACTGAGGGTATCAGAATGATCATGCTCCCAAGATTTGCTTCTCTTGCTCTGAAAGTCATAAAAGATATACATTAACAATCATGATTACTAGTCAGAGAATTGGAATTTAGTGAACTAATATATACCCCCAAATGAGATATCATTTAAGCTTTTGGAACTCCTTTTCAATATTTGTTTCATTCCTACTGAGTGTTATAGTCAAAGACTCTGCTTCTTCAGCCATACTTCAAGATTACAAAAAGCTATTTCAACTGGGATCTCTGAGTCTAACGGTATTTCAATTCTGTTATAAATATTTTCATTGATTGCAGACAGTGAGTTAGATTATTAGGTTGGGTTTTCTAAACTTAATCTTCCTCCTCTACTTCCCCAACTCAGCACAAACCAAATGTAACAGGTTTTTTACATCACTGTTCCTATTTACTAAGAACAACAAAAAAAGATGTTTCAGATTTCCATAAAATCTTTTTCTTCTTTACAACATTTCTTGCATGTTTTGGAAGAGTATATTGTTGACATGCAAAATTCAGTATATCACAGTGGAAGGGCAAGGCTGAAAATTTGTAATGCTCAACCCCAGGAGACCTGGCACGCCCTGGGACAGTCTTGTTAGAAACAGACACCAGTATGTGCAGTTTTGCAAAGGGTAAAGTGCTCAGTTTTACAGACTATATTTCAGCATAATTTGCTATTCTGACTGATACTATGTGTATGTAACTAAAAAATCAAAATATTGCCTTAGAATACTTTAATCTGTTTGTCAGTTACCATGCTTAAAGAAAAGTCTTCACAATGTTTTACATCTAAAAAACCACATCCTCTTGCCTAGTGTCTTCAGCCTTTAATTCAGGAGGTAGGTTTTGTGGTAAGACACGAAGCCACAGAGGATCCCCCTCGGGATAAAAACCTTTCCCAGCACACTGCCCATGTAACCGCCTGCTGCCAAGATTTCTGGAACTACAGCTGCATGAAGAGCATCCCACTTTGGGAGAGGTTCACAGCAGAGCTGATGTCAGAATTGCGAGGCAGTCTTTTCTGTCTGCCAGCAGGCAGAAAAGTAACCCATCTGCAATCGTGATGGCCTTGGCTTGCTTGGGCCCTCCTGCCACACTCAGCCACTCCAGTGCTGCCAGCACAGAGGCATCCCGGTGCCTCCATCTCACAGCCACTGCTGCTGCCCATGGGGCTCTCCAAGCCAGAGGAAACAGCGAGGTTCCCTGCCTTGAGCCCACTTATGGCCATCTCAGAGCCATCGATATGATTCCTGCTGGAATTTAAACTTTCACCCAACTACTGTGTACTCAAATAATGTGCAGGAGTGTTCCCTGAGTTGCATAGGTAATATCTGCAAAAATATTCATAATATTTTAAGAGATTGAATATGCTAACAGTCCATAATCCCACAGCTGTGAAAGTGTAATCTGATTGCATGTTGCAAATACATTTGTTGCACATGGCATAATATTCCTCCAACAATCATATAACCTGTGGTTAGCAACCTACAGACTAGGTTGCTGAAAATTTTTTTCATTTCTGTGAATTAATTAAACCTGAAAGAAAAAGGGATCATGGTCTACTTGGAAATGCAGGCACATTGCAAATATAACTCGTTAAAGGCTTTCCAACTCAGTATGCTGGCAAGTTAAATGAAGCACTTTACTGTACTCTACAAAAGATATAAATCTGCTTTTCTATTTAAATATTAAAATGTCCTAAAATAAATATAACTGAAAAAAAAAAAAAAAAAAAAAAAGATGTCTGATTAAGAAAGTGATAGATCTAGCATGTAAATCCATTTTGTATTGGACACAGACTATCTAATGCAGCACTTCAGTAGGGAGACACTAGCAGGCAGGTAGCTGCACTTCCTGAACTCTGATGAATCCGCAGTACTAATGGAGGTAATGAAGGTCAGCTGCAAGACTAACTTTTGGAAGGGAAGAAAGACAATGAAAAAGACTGCATATGGGCAAAAAAAGGGCTTGGGCATTTGCTCCTCTGCAAAGCCAGGGAGAGTACTCAAGCCTTTTAGTCAGCAAACCTTCCTCTTTGAGGAGTGCCAGTGAAACCGAGACAGAAGCCCAGGGAGGATGGCAGTGCCAGCCCTGTTGATGCAGCAGGGAGGGAAGGGAAGAGGTGCAGCTCCTGGCAGGCCACACCAGACCAAGCATGGGATCCCCAAAGCCACACATTCAGGGAGGGTTTTCCCTGGTGACTTCAACGGGCTGAGATCAGGCTGTTGTCTGTATGCATCTTAACTATCCCACTCATAACGCTGTCATCATGAGCTTAAGGATGTGACTGGGAAGGAGAGCAGAAATGTCTTTGAAGTCCTGAAATATATCCCGGATCCTGGATATCTGCCATTTTACAACATAGGAGCTGAACACACTCTGCCTTAGTGGCAGGTTAGCCGTTGGGAAGCAAGGGAAAAACCCAGCACGGATACATCCTGCCTGCATAGTCCCCCCAGGCATGGGGCACTCTGGGTGCACTGGCACAAGCCCCACCTGGCTGCCAGCCGGGCGCTCTGCCCCGAGGCCCAGCCGCTGCCTGGAGAAGTACCTGGCTGAGGTACGGGTCACCCAGGCAGGCACTGTGCCTGGCCCCAGCGGTGGAAGGTCCCAACCGCCTGGAGCAGCGCTGACCCAGAGCCCTTCTCTTATGTGGAGAGAGCCGGTGGGAAGCGCTGAGGAGCCCTCACTGCTCTGTTGATCCCGCCCGGGGAGCTTGGCTGGCCTAACAGTGGATCATTGTTCTTGATTAAAAACACTATTTTTGCGCAGTAATAATTTAAAAGCCCAGCAGAATATTATTTTGTGGTTGTGGCAGCAATTTGTCAGTCAAAACAAGTGTTGTAAACTGTTCAGGTTTGGGAGAGAGTGAACAGATGAAGTAACAACAAAAACCACTGACTGCATGCGCAGCCTCTATGCAGCCGGTGCAATTCTACCTGTGTTTTTAAATCACTGTGCCATAATCACAAACCAAAATCATAATTCTAGTGAAAAACCACATATGTGCTGATGTGGAGGGATTTCATTAGCACGCCATATTAGTGCGTCCTGCAAGCAGTCTGCATGTTTCATTCTCCTGTTTGCAAGAATACAGAGCAATTCAAATACCAAAAAAAAAAAAAAAAAAAAAAAAAAAAACACCCACAACAACAAAACAACAACAAAAAAAAACACAACAAAACAAAATGGAAAACAGAGCAAGAAAGAAATTAAGAGAATTTCTGCTAAATTGGATTTTCTTGTCTCTTTCTGTAGTTTTTATCACCGAGATGACAAAACATCATTAGCAGTTTATGCCAAAAGTTAACAATTCGCCATCATTTCTATTTTTTCCGAACCACAAAGGTTGGAGCCTTCTATGCACTCCCTTTATCTTCATCTGTTACTTTAGAATCTAAGAGCGCACTGTGCCCATTAATCTTTCATGGCAGAGTTCACTGAAGTTCTGCCAAAATTCAATAATTATATTCCATCCAATGCAGCAATTTATTTATCTCATTGCTGGAATTTAGAACATATAGAAGAAAGTGCTTAGTTTACATGAATGAAAAGTTTGCTTCAAAAACAACAACAAAAAACTGCCCGGTTTCATTTCTAAAGTTTTAAAACATGCGGTAGAATCTATAGAAGAAAAAAGCTATTTCTACACGTCCACATGCTATCATGATAAAGTAAGAAGTGTTCTACAATGTTAACTCTTTTCATATAATTTATAGTATTTTACAAATACCTTTGTAACTTTTATTCAAATGTATAATGACACATATTTATACTGTACTACTAAAACATGCTGTTCACAAATGTCTAACAGTCATTAAAAATGTCAGCTACAAAAAACAATAATTTATATTTTAAATGTAAAATTCCTTTTTTTTGTTTACTGCAGTAGAATAGTGTTCTGAGCAGTAAAATCTAATATACAAAATTAGAGAAAAGTTAAGCTTTATAATTGTACTTCTTCATGATATGTTTGCAAACAAATAGAAAACATAAAAACCTCCCAGTAGGAAGATTCGAGACACATTATTTCGGACAGCTGTTAAAAATAAAAATGCCATAATGCAGATTACTTAGTATGTTTCACCTTTTATAGTCTCAGGAGAAGTAGCTAATCAGTCTTTTTCCAGCCTAGCTGCAATAAAATATTAATCTACTGGCTTAGTATTGAAGAACAGAATATAGTATCCATATATTTTCAGCTTTATACCTCGAAATTTATGCAGACTGTTTATTTATGTGATAGAAATGTGACTTGTGCACATATTCGTACAGAAAATATATTTCCTGATGTAGAAAAGCCCTAATTTAGTACACGCAATCAAAAGCCAAATTTATAATGTGGTAAGATTTATGTAAAACTCTCTGTTACTTCATATATTAAATTTTACACTTCAGGCATGTTATCAAGACAAAATTTGACTCCAGATTTAAAAAGCCTTCAAAAAGTTTTTGGAGCATAACTTGCTTTGATTTATAACACAGCTCTTCAACAACCAAAACAGAACCCAAAACCTCTGGAACTAGTGCACTAGCAAGCGTTCGTTATTTCACAGTAAAACCTCCTAGGTAAAACTAGGAATACCACAAGAAAACATGTCACAGTTATAGTTTTGCAGTAACTAGATGAGCATATGCATATTTGAAATTAAGTGCACCTAATTTAATAATTCATGAGAAATTACTTCCACACATTGGTAAATAAATTTCATAATGATTTGCTAAAATTTTACTGTCACATTTACTTTAGCCTTCAACCTGATCATTTTTCACAGTACTTTACATGAAAATATGATTCACCTGTGATGTATTTCTCCCTGTCGTAAAACTTTTAAAATGTCCCAGAAAAATGAAGTAACTCTTATTCACGTTACTTTAGTTTGCTCATTTTCTACATTTTTTTTTTTCCCCAACATTTTAATTTTGTCTACTTTCTTTCACTGCAAATGATACGTGCTACAATTAAAGTCAGAGGAGACTTCATGGAGATTCAGTCTCCTGCAAGGTAACAAGAGCAAACCCTCCCAGGCAAGT